TCACGTAACCAGATCACATGACCAGTCAAATTACTTCCTTTGCTATTAGAAAATCTCATTTTATCATATTGCAATATTATCGCAAATGCAATTAATTGTTCAGCCCTAATACAGATGTGTGAGAACATGAAAGTTGTTTAAATAATTTTTACATTGTTGATGTATATGCTGAAAATAGTAGGACCAAGTATGGAGCCTTGGGGAACACCTTTGCTGATGGGTAGTGGGGCTGACAGCTGACCCTCCATCCTCACTGATTGCGCTCACTCAGAACAGTAGCATTTGAACCAAGCTATGCAACTGTGACATCTCTTAGCCCCTTAGCCTTCCCAGCAAGATGTATTAGTTTACAGCAGGGCTATTCAACTGGCGGCTCGAGGGCCAAATCAGGCCCACAGATGAACTCAGTTCGGCCCACCAATGGGTCCATGTTTAAATAAAACTAGATTTTAAACCATAAAACAAACCAATTTAATGGCAATAAGTGTTGGATGTCCGACCCACGAGCTCTTGGCTTTTAGTGACTATGCTGCCCCCCACCCCCACCCCCGAACAATTTAGTTGAATAGCCCTGGTCTATAGAGTCGAAGGCCTTATCTAGGTCGACACAGACAACAGCACAGTACTTTTTCTTATCACTCGAACAGACAACGTCATTCACAACCTCAAGTGCGGCAAGATACAGCTGTGTCCTGATTATTAAAGGAAAGAATGAGGTAGAAGAAAAATTTACTAAAGAGCATTTTCAAACAAGCAAATTACTATAACACAGCCATCAAGTTCATTATATTTATTATGTTTTTTTAGTTTATCAATGTTTGCTGCACCAGTTTTTATTACAAGTAATAAAAAAATGTGTTTAAGATTTATGTTGGGTGAATAGTAAAAGCAACTTCTAAACAAACCAAATATTTATGTAGTTCTTTCTTTTTTTTGCTGAAATTTCAATCTTACCATCTGGTAACTTTCTGGGATAAATTCCAGCAAATAAATACCACGTGACATTATCATGATAAACATGCTTATTCTCTCTCTCTCTCTCTCTCTCTCTCTCTCTCTCTCTCACACACACACACACACACACACACACACACACACACACACACACAC